CAGAGCCCTCCCTGGACTGGCAGGGGCGGCACTCGCGCACCCTGGGCCTGGTACCTGGCGCCTGCTCGGCCCGACACCGCGCCCACAACCGCCAGCCCCTCGGCCCTCATGCCCCCTTAGCCCAGCCTGGAATTCGCCTGGAGACCCCCTCCCTGCCCAGTCCCCCATTTGTCTAACACGCTCTCGGATGAGTCTGTCTCCCACTCCCGAAGCCGCCCCACCCCACCCTGCGGGACCCACCTGTACCCTCCAGCGACATCTGGGGGTTGCCTAGGGTCAGCACCGCATCGTCAGCCCCGAAGGCGGCGGCAGGGGGAGCAGAGGCCAGGGCGGGGTCCTCCGCGCTGTACATAGCACTGAAGTAGTTGCTGAAGACGTTGCTGATCTCACAGGTCGCAGCCATGAGGCCACCTGGGGAGAGGGAACGGGGCTGCTGAGGGGCCGGGGCCCAAGCTTGGGCAGGGGTAGCCCCAAGGGGGCAAGAAGGTCGACAACTCTGTGGGCACCTCCTCTTCTAGAAGGGCTTCAGGGTCTCAGAGCAAGGTGGAGCCACAAGACCCTCCTGCTGGGGTTCCCTCCTCAGATCGCCTGGACCCTGGGCCAGACTAGCAGCCGTGGCCACACTGTCCCTCCCAGAGACAGTCTCTCTGCTCTCGATCCCCCTCGGGACACCCACGGCCCTACACTCCCGCTTGGAGATTCTACACTGGAGCAGGCAGGTTCAGAACTGCAAATCCACTAGACCCCTCCTCAGTTCCCCAAGGCCTGGGCTAGGGAATGACAGCTGGGGTCCTACCGGAGAGGGGGTACGGATTTGGCAGGCAGATTTCGAAGCTGCAGGCAGGAGAGAAATCCCGGCGGTGCGCAGCTCGCCAGGTAGTGCTGAGGTGTGTGGCCGCGGCGCTCCCCGCCCCGCCCTATATAGAGCTGTGCGGGACTCCTCCCCGAGCTGGCTTTTATAGTATGTCCCCGCTGGTAACCTGAGCTGGTGGCTCATTGGACGGAGGGGATTTCCTGGCCTTTAGACCAGGCTCCTGGCCCCAGGTGATTTGCATATTCTGTGCCACTTAGCCGGGATCCTAGCAGGCGGTGCTGGGAAATCTGGCCGGGCTGGTTTAATGATTATCAAGCCTGTCATCCCGCGCCCTCTGGGGTTGGGCACAGGGCACTGGCTGGGGCAGGTGGCGGGAACCGCGCTGGGGTGGGCATCTCCTCTGTGCTTTCGGCTGCCCTCTGGCCTAGGAAATTCCTCCCGGGGGCCAGGCCGGGGATGGGCTAGGTAGGGGAAGGGCAAGTGGGGGAACCTGAACTCCTGGCTGAACCGGGTCAGAAAGGCTGCTGGCCCCCAAATTTCCAGATGTCTGGGGACAGAGGGGCCTAATAGAGAAGATACTGAGGTTTAGGGATTTTTCCTGCAACACCCAGGATTCTGGGCACAGGCTGGGAGGCTCTCCAGGCGTGATACTGGACAATATTCACGGGCTAATGGGGAGGGCCGGGCCTGCCAGCCTTGTGCCCCACCCCGGGGCCCCCCACCCCAGGGTGCCCGCCACAGGGCCCTTTCGCCGGCACCCCCTTTGTTGGCAACGTCTCAGCACCCACTGCCTGCCTGGACCCCATCCAAGCACTGGGGCTGCTACAGCCACTTCTGCAGAGACCGGGCTGTATTCATACTTGAGTTTTTCCCTCCGCACCTGGAGGGGTCCTGCCCAGGGGCTGCCAGAGGTGCCGGAGCCCACGTGGTTAGGTTCACCCCCCGCTGCTCTCCCTGTCTCCGGTTCCTGTCTGCTGCCCTCTGGTGGTCAGAAGCCCAACTACCTGGGTCACGTCACTCAAAGGAGAAAAGGGGACGCATAGCTTGTGTTTACTATTTACCATGCACTTTTAACCTATTCTGTCATTTAATCCTCACACACAAAAAATCCAGTAGGGAATGCACAGTTATCTCCGTTTTATAGACCAGAAAATTGCAGCTTGGAGGTTGAGGGGCTTGCCCAGACCACAGAGAGTTAGTTACACGGCGGGGCGGGATTTAAATGCGGGTCTGCTGTGCGCCGAAACTCCCTCTCTTTCCCTGGACAGTGCCAGAGTCTTCCGGCCTCAGAGTCCTCCCGCTCAGCTCCACGGCCGGAGCCCTCGCCTCGCTGCGGGCGGTGGGTCCCCCGTGCCGGTGGCTCTCTCTGTGGCCTGTGTCCTATAGATCTTCGGTGCAACTATGTGATCTTGGGCGAGGCCCTTGGATTCTGCACTTCGGTTACCCCATCTGCAATAAAAACGAGGCTTTTTGGATTCAATAATCGCTGAGATCTCTTCCAGATCTAGTTTTTTATGCATCTAGAATCTAGGACCTGTGTGTCTCTCTCCTGCCCTTCATTAACGCTACAACGCAGGTGGTTCCCGGCCTCCTCCGCCACAGGGTGGGTGAAATGGTTACTCAAACAAAAGGTGACTCCACCTCCAGAGATACTCTTGTCCTTAACTTTATAGCCGGAGGACTAAGAAAGTCCTTCCCAGAGAATCTGCTTCTCATCTTCCTGGTCTCAGAAACTACTGGGTGCCCAGGAGAGCGGGTTAAAGTCCAGGAACCCCCCACCAGGCCAGGCGGCGGGCAGGAGGGTCTGGGGCTGAGGGTAGGATTTCCCCCAGCCCCTAAGGGGGCCTCCTCCCCCAGGGAGCCCGAGGCGGCACACCCTCTGCCCAGTCACTCACCCTGGAATGTGGGAGAACCGGCTTCCAGCCCGGGGCTGCTCACGTGCTCCCAGCCCTGAAGAGCACCTGGCCCGGGCCAGGGTTCCGGACCGGGGAGAGGAGGATGTGTGGAGAATCAGGACGTGGGCTCCCTTGAGGCTTCTTCCCAGGAGAATGGAGCTGAGATAAGGAATTCCTACAGCCTAGCACTTTAAGTGGGAAAGACTTGGATTTGAGGTCAGAGCCGTGGAGGGCTGGGGACGGGTGGGGCAGAGGTTCCAGGACGGTGGTCAAAGAAGCTACTGAGCAGGAGGCTGGGGGCTTTCCTAGCCCGCTGACCTCCCCCCAGAGCTTGCCCAGATGGTGGCACAGCTTCGTCTTGGGGACAGGAGGATGTCCTGTAAAAGGACAGGCACATAGTAGGACTGCTGGGTACCAAGGTGGCGAGTGAGGCAGGCTACACAGCTCAGCATAGCCACACCGGAGGCCTCACAAAGTGAGTGGAGTCAGAGTGACCTTTCGAGGAGCTGCCTGCCTTTTGCTTCCAGTGACTCTCCATTATCACTGGGCTCGTTGATGCTCCAGGTTTTTGCACAGAACAAAAAAGATAGCTGCTGGTCTCGGAGCTGATAAGCTAGACACTAAGTTGGGGAGGGGGAGGCAACTGGATAGCCCTAAAATAGTCCTTGCCTATGACAGGTTGCCGGGAACAGTCCTGAGAGCTAGGGCAGCAGTCCGCTGTCAAAAGGCCAGCGCCTAGTGTAGCTCTTACAACCCTGGGCTCCCAGCCCCGCTCCTGTGCCCCCAGCACCCTCCCTGTGGTGCGGCTGAGGCCCTCTCCAGCCTGCTATCTGGTCCTCGCTCATCCTTTGCTCTTGCTGAGAATGAGAATAAATCTTAAGTTCCCTCTTTTTTTGTTGTTGTTGAGACAGATTCTCACTCTGTCACCCTGAGTAGAGTGCAGTGGCATCACTGTAGCTCACTACAACTTCAGACTGGGCTCAAGTGATCCTTCTGCCTCAGCCTCTGAGTAGCTGGGACTACAGGTGCATGCCACAATGCCCGGCTGATTTTTTTGTTTTTTTTTTTTTAATACATATCTTTTTATTTTAATTTTTTTTATTTTTTGTTTTTTTATTTTTTTCGAGACACAGAGTCTCACTCTCTTGCCTGGGCTAAAGTGCCATGGCGTCAGCCTAGCTCACAGCAACCTCAAACTCCTCAGCTCAAGGGATCCTCCTGCCTCAGCCTCCCGGATAGCTGGGACTACAGGCATGCACCACCATGCCCAGCTAATTTTTTCTATATATTTTCAGTTGTCCAGATAATTTCTTTCTATTTTTAGTAGAGACAGGGTCTCGCTCTTGCTCAGGCTGGTCTCGGAACTCCTGAGCTCAAGCAATCCTCCTGCCTCGGGCTCCCAGAGTGCTAGGATTACAGGCGTGAGCCACCGCGCCCGGCCTTTTTTGTATTTTTAGTAGAGATGGGGTGTCACTTTTGCTCAGGCTGGTCTTGAACTCCTGAGCTCAAGCAGTCCTCCTACCTCGGCCGTCCAGAGTGCTAGGATTACAGGCATGACCACTGCACCTGGCCAAAACCTAAGCTTTCTTCCTTGACCCTTGTGCAGGGGAGGGAAGAGGGCTGTATTGGTGACCCAAAGCCAAGGGCAGGGCAGAGCCACAGCCAGAGACTGGTTCAGGGGTGCCCTGTAAGAAAGGAAACTTAAACATATTTAAATATTTCTCCCAATCCTCCCCTCATCCTACTCGCAAACCCAAGCTGCTAACTGCTTACTTAGATCCCCATGTCGAGGCCAGGAAATCAGAATTTAGTGCCAAGTTCTGAAGACTCTTGATTACCACACCATTAAAATAGTTATCCAGGAGCAAAGGCAGGTGAGGCCCAGCGAAGCCCCTGGGATGGGGAGAAGGGTAGGGAAAGAACGCCAAAATACACATTTTGTTTACTCATTTGTTTTAGTGATGGAAAAGATGAATGGGAACGACGCTGCAGATAGAGAATTTAGCTGCCTTCACAGATAGCTGGAATGCTGTTCTTTTGTTCGTTTTTCCCACAACAGCCACGCCACACTGCCGTATGTTTTTCATAAGCATGTGTGGGACACACACCTCTTGCAGCCTGGCCGTTCCCTAAGGACAGGGAAACACTGTCATTCTCTGACTCTCCCCCAGTGACTGTCTCTGAACACACACACAGAGGGGACCCTGGGTAGATGAAATTTAATAGATAACTCCAACTTAAATCTATTTTTTGCTTAAAAACATTTATTAAAATAAGGATTAAATCTGAAAAAAGAAAAACCAGAATGGCAGCCCTTTGCATAGTACAAGAAAGGAAGGGAGGAAGGCAGGGAGGGAGAGAGGGAGGGAAAGGAGGGAGGAGGGCAGGCAAGCCCTCTTCACCTCTCCCCAGACCTAAGCCGGGAGGAGGGAGAAGGTCAGCTGTCCCTCCGATGCCAGCAGCCTGCAGGGAGTCAGGACTCAGTGGGCCAGAGAAGTTCCCACCAGAGCAGAAGCCCGAGAGCCGCAGATGCCAAGCCCAGAGAACAGATTATTCCAAGGGGATACGAACTTTAGGAAGTTGACCGAAAAACTGGGATTTGGGAACAAACAATTATTCTGAAAGCCTGCAAAGTCTGAAGAGGCAGAGGCCACGCGCGCGAGCCTCTAACTGCCCTTGGGCCCCAGGATCTGCCGCACGTAGTTGACGACGTTGCTGTGGAGTTGGGAGGCGGTGGACGCGAAGGTCTCCCTGGCGAGGCTCTGGGCCGCTTGGCTGCCACTCATCATGGCGTGGTACAGCGGAAGGGTGTACTTCTGTTTCCCCTGCAAGAAACACACACACTCACACACATGTGCCCCGGCAGCTGGCCCAGGGGGTGTGTCCAGCCCTCTTGCCCCCAGCGGCAGTCACAGGTGCCTAAGGGGACACAGGGACCCATGCTGGCGTGAGGAATTTCCCAGTCAGAAGTGCTCCAATTCTGACATCTTCTTGGGGGGTCAAAGATCCATGGAGACAGATTTCAGTGTGCACCCCAGTCCACGCTAACATGGGGACAGCTACCCCCGACAAAACAAATGAGATGGGTGGACGCCGTGGGACGCCACGCTTTTGGAAAGCTGCGGGTGGCTGGCCACCCAGTTAACAGCAGATATCGAAGGCTGCAGCACACAAGCTCAGGGCCACAGAAGGTCCAACTGCAGTTAAGTAAAAGAAAAGCCGCAAGTCAAATTCACATGGGTGGAAGCCAGGTACGTCACACGCTCCTACGACCCAGAGGCTCGAAGAAGCCGTCGGCAGGCTCAGAACGTCTGCACGCAGGCGCGCGGCTCCCACTCACACAGGTGAGGGACTCCGAGCACGGCTTTGTGTCCAGGCCAGCCCCCTCCCTGCTCTAGAATCTGATGACCCCGAGAGTTCACCCTGAGAGCCTCTGGGCCCTTCCCAACAGGGCAGCTCTCCTGGGGTCATGCAGGGTCCGGCTGGTGTCCCAGCTCTTCTCGAGTCACAAGGCTTCTTCCCCTGGAGCAGGGACCTATCGTCTCACCTCCGCCGTCTCGCCTGTCCTTTGGCCCCTTTCCCTCTGTGTTTTCCCCATGACCGGTCCCCGCATTACGCATTACCCTCTTTCCCAGTTTCGGGTTAGCTCTGACCAGCTTTTTCCCCTCAGGTCTCACCAGCTGATCTGCAAAAAGCTCCCGGAGCCTGTGGGCTTCCCCTTTCCCCAGGGCAGTGCCTCCGCCGGCCGCGCTAAAAACCAGACTGAGCAGCAGTGGCCTCCAGGAGGTCACCTGACCCCTCCCTGTGACGCGCAGATGCTGCTCTGCCCACACCACTACTTCAAGCGTGGCTGAGTGGTCCACGGCGGGCTTGCGGGGGACAGGGCGGGCCACCCACCTGGCTCTGCAGGAACTCCTTCACTTTCCAGAAGTCCTCCTGGTGGTCGTTCTTAAGGACGATTTGGCCCCATCGTAGCCGCAGCTCCGCATTCCGGGCATTTGAGATCTTTGGGTACGTGTCTCCCAGTTTTTTCACATTCCCTGGAAAGAGAGAGAAACGGTTCATGAATGACCAGCAGAGGCAGCTGAGAAGCCCCATTCTTGGGGACCCCGTGCGTCTGCCCTCGGGCCCTCCCCCAGCACTGGGGGTACACTTCCAGGAGGCTCCCGCCACCCGCTTCCCCACCCACTCTGTTCATTTTCTGCGCTGAAATGGTGATGCTCTATTCCCACATCTACTTAACAACGAAGACTCTTCCACCAACTGTCCCTTGATATTATTATGGACTTTCTGCTCTTTTCTTATAATCATCCTATTTTCCTTCCCAGATTAAAACACAGGTATTCCCCTAAAATATCCCACCCCACTTTTTCTCCTACCAGCCTTCTAGAAGTCATCGCAGCTTTGGCTTTTTTCATCCCTTGGTGAACGTTATTTCCGATTGTGCAGCAACAAAGCATTAGCGGTTAAGAGCTTTGGGTGGCTGGGTTCAAATCCCAGCCCACCCGTTTATTGGCTGTGTGACCCATTTGTGCCTCAAGTTCATTGTCACCTAGGAATTATAACCACGGCACCTGCTTCACAGAGCAGCGATGAGGATTAAATGACTTAATAGACACAAAGCTTACAAGAGCTGCCTGCAGAGCCTGATGACTCGACGAACGGCAGCCTTGATTATTCTGTTCCGCACGGTACGTGCAGGTGTGACAGTGCGACCCACCGCCGTTTGACGGCACACTCCCTGCGAGGTGCCAGCCTCCCCGTCCCATCGGCAGTCACCAGGGGCACACATCACAGCGTTTTCTGAGTCTGCCTCTGCCCCTGGCATAAAGCTCCGCACGCAACGAGTCTTGACTCAGCACGTTGGAGAAACCACCCACTGTTTCTTACCAGGAGGGAGAGGGGATTTCTGGAGGATCTGGTCCAGGAAGTAGACCAGCTGGTAGGTCTTCCAGGGTGAGATGGCCACAGCCTCAATGGCCTTCGTGTCCAGCTCCTCAGCTGCCCACAGCTGGGCCAAGGCTTCAGCGGGCTTCATGAGCGAGTCCCCGGGGGAGAGATCGGGGAGGTGCGGGGGCCAGCCAGGGGTGTTCAGCCATCGATCAAACTCGAACCCTGTTTGGTGGCAGGAGATACTGTCAGGATCCTCCGGCCAGGTCGCAGTCGACGTGCCCAAGCTCCTGCCTCTCTCGCCCCAAACTCTTCCTCCAGCATTTCGCATCACCTTCCCACACGACCACCAGCTCCAGCCGGCGTCCAGTTACGGTGACGCCTAGAGGCTCTCGCGGTAAGACCGGACTGCGCCTGGTTCTACTATGGAAGTGTCTTTGCTCCAAATTAACACTGTGTCGTCAGGGCCAAGCTGACGGGTGCTGTGCTCCAGTATGCGTTCTCCCGACCGCCAGAGCAGCACTGCGCGTCAGCACCGGGGCTCCTGGACCAGGCTGCCAGGGCTCCTGCCCTGCCCTGCCATTAACTAGCGGGGAGGCCACAGGCATGTCCCGTCCCCTCTCTGAACCTGTGTCTTGTCTGTAGAATGGCGGGGGAGGGGGAGGGGAGTGACAGGCCCTAGTTGACAGCTGTGAGGATTAAATGAGCAAATATACATTAAAGCCTCCCGTGCTGCCTGGTGCACGGTGAGCACTCGGTGACTACTAACTGTCGTTAGCTACAGCGTCTCGTGACCTTGCGATGCAGGCCTCCACCCTCAGGGCAGGCGCTGCTATGGCCTGACCAAGCCCCTGGCCCTGCTGTCAGAGGAGGCCAACTCCACCAAACCAGTGACAGAGTGATGCGGGCTCACGGTGCCAAGTGAGGGTATGTCTAAGAGACTGTCCCTTCCATGACAGCACGTGTCCACTCTCTCCTAGGAAGCGGGGCGGCCACTGGGATCTCCTTTGCTCAGAAGGCTGCACAGACCACGCCACGGTCTTAAGGCAACGACTCTCTGGGCAGAGTGAAGGGTCTGGCTACACGTGTCCAGGGGGGAGGGAAGCAGGAGAGAGAGGGGAGGGTAAGAAAATGAGGCGGAGAAGCAGCGAGAGAAGTCGTTTCTGTGGAATAAAGCCTGAGGACCTGGGTGTGCGCCCCAAAGCGCCACCTACTAGAGGACTGGGACCAGTGCTCTCCTGCCCATTTTGGTCTTTCCGAAGGTAAATTACACATAATTCTCTGCTGTCTCCTAGAAGCCTGGGGCCAGCTCCTCTGCGTACCTGGGATGGAATCCACTCTCTTCTTCTTCAGCTCAGGGAAATATTCCAAGTAGAACTCGAGAAAGTCTTCAGCCATGATGCTTTTGAACTTAAATTCATCCACATAGGCCTGCGGGAAGGGCAGTGCTGTGCAGGGACCCTCTGGCCCCACCGGCAGTAGGGCCCTCCGTGTCGTGGCCTCTTCCAACCCCTCACCTCTTCTGCTCCCGTCTCCACCCTCGCACTCTGGCCCAGCCGCTCCATCTGCTCCTCCTCCTTCTCCCCTCCTGAGAGAGGTCACTGTACCTTGAGAAATTTGTCAAACTGATGCTGATCGCCCACCAAGTGGGCCAGGTACGAGACAAAGCAGAAACCTTTCTCGTAGGGGGTCTCGTTGTACGTGTCGTCTGGGTCGACACCTGGCAGAGGAGAGAGCGGACAGGGTTGGAGCCTTGTGCCCTATTGCCCCTACTGCTCCGCTCTAGCCCCAGCTCCACAGACTGACCGTGGAAGAGACCAGAACTCAGCTTCCCCGGGGTCAGCAAGGCCAAGAAGGTTTGCAGCTCCATCTTGGCCTCGCCCAAGGCACGAGATCTTAGAGGCCGTTCGCTATGGCTCTAGTAAGAGGACGGATAGTACGAGGACAAGGAGAGCAGCACCAGGAACCGACGCGTTTCCCTGCTCCTGGGGCGTGCCTTGCCTGCGTAGGTTCCGTCGACTCTGAGGACTGGGCTCCAGGCTCAGGCTTTTCCAGCCCTGCTGGTTCCCACCTATGTGCTTGACCCCCCCTCCCCCAGCAATGTGTCGTTCACAACTGTGCCAGGCTGAAACCGATTGCCAGTCTATGAGAAGTTCATTTCCACAGCCCATGGCATCAAGGAATATGAGCTTCCACTGCACAAAAAGGTTTTAGATTAGTCACCATGGAACTCAAGAGGAATGTTAGAAAATAAAAAGCTCTGAACTTGGAGTGAGGACTGGGGTCTGAGTTCCAGCAATGCCCTCATTGCGGACACGACCCTGGACAAGTGACTTAACTTGTCTGGCACTCGGTCCTGTCCTCCATAAAACAAGCCTAATACCTTACGGAACCCACAGTCTGACTTGATAAAAAGGAACGGGAAGGAGCCCTGTGAAATGACGCGGACCTGCAAAACGCCAGAACCGGACGAACTCCTACCTGGCTACAGTGGCTTGGGTTTACCAGCCCAGAGGCCAGAGCATTGGCTACAGAGCGCTCTGCAAGGCCTCTCCCCGCATAGACAGTACTGTGAGCGTGCACTGATCGACACGAAGCTCGAACTAACGTGGGGCTCCAAGCTCAGTCTAGGGGAGGGGGTTTCAGACAGAGCCTCCTGGACCTGGTTCGATCTTCACTCGGAGCTTGTTGAGTGGGTTTTCCTCGCCACTGATGTCCATGTGCTGGCGCAGCAGAGCACGCCCGGTCGCCGCCTCCAAGCAGGTGTAAGCGGCCCCTGCGGCAAAATCAAACAGAAGCCCGGAGAAAGTTTGTTACCAGCACGTCCAGCACTTTCCTGACACAGACGCTGTGCTGCCCCCTTGCGGTCTCAGGAAGAACATTGACAGACACCTGAAGCCGAATACCCTATGACCCTCCTGGGGACCTGAGTGCAAACGGGGTCGCCCACAGAGAACCTGACTCCGCCCCCTGACTCCACTGCTCTGGGCTACAAGGACTGGGCGAGTCACATCTTTTCTCTGACAGTTACCTTTTTCTATCAACATATTTTTATTTTTAGATAATAATTTGATCTTCTGTGAAAACTTAGAATATTTTTACCTGACTGCTCCTGTTGGACAAGAGAAACTATCACCCCCCAATTTTTTAAAGGTCTTTAAATCTCCTTCTGCCTTTAAAAATGACGACTGAGAGAGCAGTGGAGGGGACCAGGACCCGGTTTGTGAAACAGCCAGCTCTGCCCCATACCAGATGCTCTGACTCTGAGCAAGTGACTTAACCTCCCTCAGCCTCAGTTTCTGCCTCTGCACAATGGGGTAATAATAGTTGCTTGCAGGACTCCTAGTAGCTGATTAAGACAGTCACAAACATGCTCATGCTCCATATATTCCGTAAGTTTTTGTTTTTGAGACAGGGTCTCGCTCTGCTGCCTGGGCTGGGCTAGAGAGCAGTGGTGTCATTACAGCTCACTGCAGCCTCCAATTCCTGGGCTCAAGCCATCCTCCTGCCTCAGCCTCCCAAGTAGCTGGGACAACAGACGTGTGCCATCACGCCCAGATAATTTTTCTATTTTTTGTAGAGACGGGGTCTCGCTCTTGCTCAGGCTGGTCTTGAACTCCTGACCGCAAGTGATCCTCCCGCCTTGGCCCCCCAAAGTGCTAGGATTGCATGCATGAGCTACTGTGTCAGACTATATACTCTGAATGAAACTATAAACTTATGTAAACTTTCTGGGAGGTAATGGAAAATGTATACTAAAAAGACTTTAAAATGTTCGGACCCAGAAATTATGTTTCTAAGAATTTATCCTTATGGAAATCATCTTGACATATGCATTGTTTGTCAAAATATTTCAATGGAAAATTGGTAACAACCTTTCTAACAACTGGAGATTGACTAAAACATTCATACTATGCAGCTACAGAAGAAAATTTAATGAATTAGGGAAGTATTTAACTTTATTAAGTTAAAAAAAAAGCCAGTTGTAAGACCACGTATGCTTTGATAATTCACACACACACACACACACACACACACACATAAAAATGTTTGAAAGGATACAGTACTACCTCCTCCCTTCATACCCACGTGTACCCTAAAACCCCAAAAGGAGACCCCACTGGCCGTGCGGGCCAAGGACTGGGAGGCAGAATCCTTGGGAGAACGGTGGGCACGTACCGAAGAGGATGGTGGAGATCCTCCTCTGGGCGTACATGGTGAAACCTTCGTTGAGCCAGAATTCACCCCAGTTGGCATTGGTGACCAGGTTCCCAAACCAACTGTGGGAGATCTCATGGATGATGACATCAGCCAAGGAGCGGTCCCCTGCTAGCAGGCAGGGGGTGACAAAGGTCAGACAAGGGTTCTCCATTCCTCCAAACGGAAAGGACGGCGGCATGAAGAGCAAGTCGTACCTGCCGAGTGGGTAGGAGGGTCACGGGGAGGCCCTGGCTCCCCGCGCAGACCCTGCCTTGCCGCGCTGAGCCGTGGCCCTCCCAGTCTGCTTCCAAGCCCTGCGACATGCACTCACTAAACAGGCGGAGTACAGCCTTCTGGCCAGTGCTGAAAATAAAGGCCAGGCTCCTCCGTCCTTCTCCGGCTTCCCAGGTGGCTTCCCTGCCTTGCTGGGACTTCCCTGTTCCACGTGGGGTTTGCTCTCTTGGAGACAGCTCTCGAAGTCTTTCTGTTTCCCTCTCTCCTTCCAAGCAGGATGTGAGTGTATCATCAGCTCTATCACCTTTAGCTCACTGGAGGCCAACTTGGGGTCATAAAGACCAAAGTGGAGCCTTTTATCTAAGGAGCCTGAAGACTGGAGATGTCAAGGGGAAAAATGGAGTGTGGGCAGCTTCCAGCAATGAGGAAAACCAGGCCGACGAGGGCCCCAAAAGTGCTCGCTTCGGCAGCACGTACCCTCGACGGGCCCATCTCAAACTTGGGAACGGCGAGGCACATTTTTATCACCTCCAGAACCTCTCTCCTAGGGGCCCGTCCTCAGCAATGACGGGGAGCCTGGCTCATCCCTCCTCTTCTCACCTTCCTCTCCTTCACTAATGGGGTTTGGGAAACGCTGCTCTGGGAGGAGCAAGAGAGGCAACGCCAGAAGGGAGAGTGGAAACCTGGGACTTGTCAGAGTCAGCATGATACCACACCTTCCCCAAACATAGGGTCCGAAAAGTTTCTCTCCTGTTGCCAAAAATTCTTCTATCACCCCATTGTACTCCTCCTTGGCAGCATCGATCAGACAGGGCTCAGCCCACACCCGGCTCCTACAGACAAGAGCGCAAAGAAAGCAGAGGGGTGTTTAGAGATCATCGCTGTGACCCAAGCCAGAAAGCACCTGAAGAAGAAAATGGGCCTCGGTCCCATATTTGGGCCAAATGAGTGTGACAGTGTGGTACGCCACAGAGACAAGAGATGCAAGGTCAGATCACCTGCCCAGATCCGAGAGGCTGCTCCCACACCTGAGAAATGAGAACCCAAGACAGCCTCATGGAGGTGGCCGCTGCCTCCTCCAGCAACAGAGTCTAAACTCACGGTGCTGCAGGGTACGGCTTCAACACCGACTGCGATCTCGCAAAAGGCATTTCGCCTCTCTCAGCCTCAGTTTCCTCATCTGTAGTAAAGATTAAATAAGACGGCATACAAAAGCCCTTCATGTAGTGGCTTATACAGTAAATGTTTGTTTCCTTCCCCCTACACGGATGAGAGGGGGAAGAAAGGATTCTAAGAATCTTTAGAATTGAAAGGCACCTTAAGAGATAAACCTATTAATGTTAATAGAAAATGGTTGGCCGGGCACGGTGGCTCACGCCTGTAATCCCAGCACTCTGGGAGGCTGAGGCAGGAGGATCGCTCGAGGTCAGGAGTTTGGGACCAGCCTGAGCAAGAGCGAGACTCCGCCTCTACTAAAATTAGAAAGAAATTAATCGGCCAACTAAAAATACATAGAAAAAATTAGCCGGGCATGGTGGCGCATGCCTGTAGTCCCAGCTACTCGGGAGGCTGAGGCAGAAGGATCGCTTGAGCCCAGGAGTTTGAGGTTGCTGTGAGCTAGGCTGATGCCATGGCACTCACTCTAGCCTGGGCAAAAGAGTGAGACTCTGTCTCAAAAAAAAAATAAAATAAAATAAAACGATGGGAAACAAAGGTGAATAGGAGGAAACAAAAACAAAAAAAAGCAAGAAGATGCAGTTTAATGCAAAGATGCAAAAGAATCCAGGGCTTCTGTAGCCCAAGCCTGGGCCCTGACCACGCGCTCCTGGATGCTGCGTAGCACTGCTCGTCCACATGGACACACTGAATGAGACAGGTGGCAACGCTGGACAGGTCCAATGCCAGGATGAGGGAAGGCTTCCTCTCTGCCTCTGCAGAAGCTCAGAACTATTCTAGCAGGAGGAAAAGGTACAAGAAAACCAGTATCAGGTGCTTCCCAAGTGTCAAAAGCAAAAGCACAGCAGCAGGAAATTGCACGTGCGTGTGAGGGTGCGCCAAGAGCCCGGGAGTCCTGAGGATTATGGCATCAGGCTGGGGGGGGGGGCGGGAGGCGGTGGCGGGAGATGGGACACGAGAGGCCCACACCTGTCACGTTACAGAACTGGACCTTGGAGCCATCGGAGCATTATAAACTGACAAGTGAATTATCAGATTTAGTTTTAAGAGACCACTCTGGCTGCAGGACACAGAAAATATTAATCAGTTAACCTACAGGAACGGGTGAGCTTCCCAGGAAAAGCACAGAGAAGAGAAGAACGGGTGACGGACAGAACCCTGGGGACACCAACACACTAGGGGCAGGGCAGAGGAGAGACCAGGAAGGACTAACCAGGAGGCCTCAGAACCAGGACAGGGTAGTGTCAGGAAGCCAGAGGAGGGTCTACAGAGGCAGGAAAAAAAGAGCGGAATGCGGAGACAAGGATTAAAAAGCACCCAGGGTGTTTTGCATATTGAGGCGCATGGCCTCTCTTCCTACAGGGTTTCAACAGCGTGACAGGGGCAGGGGGTGTGACACGTGGAGCCCGGGCGTGTACATGCAACTCAGGTAACGCACCACGAAGGCAGAGGCCGGTGTGCTAGAAGAAAATATGGAGTCCAGGGGGTTTTGGGTTTTGAGCTTGTTTTTTGCTTTGTTTTCGTCTAAGAGAAACTGGAGCATACCCAAGGCTGAGGGGGAGGCTGCAGACTCGAGGACAGAGGGGCAAATGGTAGAACACAGCCGCAGAGGACACGGGGAGGGACTGCATCCACAGCCCGGGAGACACTGGTCGCCAATGAGAAGGACCCCCTCCAGAGTCTGGAAGGATGAAGGGAGATGAAGGACACTTCTTAAGCGGAGGATAGGAAGTGGACGTGATCGCATCTGACGAAGTCAATATTCTCAGGAAAGTAGGAGGCGAGATCGTGCGCCTGGTTGGGGGTGTGGGGTTTCGACAGCAAACCTGAAGACCACGATAAAGTCTTAGAACAGCTTAAGGGAAGAGAGACGGAAAGAGAAACGAAAGGGCTGTTGAGCAATCTTGAAAGCACACCAAGCTGAAGACCACGCTGGGCATATTTTTCCTTTCACCAAGGAACCAGACGCGTATGGTGCAATCGCGGTGCAGTTTCGTTATTTTCCACATCTCCCCAGCACCCAGCCACAGGGGTAGAGAAAGGGAATTATAATGCATGACTGAGGGCTGGGCCGTGACAGCAGCGGGGCGGCGGGCACAGGGCTTGGAGTATTGGTGCGAGATGATCCGCCACAGTCCTGGGTCAGGGAGGGAAGCCAGGAGCAGCCGACTGCCGTGGACAAAGGGGGAGGCCGCCGTGAGCGCAAGGAGGAGACACGGCGGGAGGCATCAGAGGGATGGAAGGTTGGTTGGGAGGGTACAGACAGAAGGTGAGTGAGGGCAAGGCGCCTCAAAGTTCTGATCTGGTATAGCTCCCGACAGTGACGATGTCTAGGCCCGAGAGCCTGGCTGTGCACGTGGGTGGCTGACGGAGTGGAGACGGCTTCCTGAGCAGAGGAGGTTGAGAAACCCTTAAGCCACCCTTAACCCTATGCGTTCAATGGGATATCCACATGGAGAGAAAAGCCACCAAAGATGGTGTGACAAGCCACCAGGCTAAGAAACAGCCCATGGGACAGGAGTCAAAGTCTTCGGGGAGCTACTTGTGAACTGCTTCGCCACGAGCTTGGATACCCGAGTGAACACAGGCCGTCAGCCCAGTGGGCTTCACCTTACTACAGCTAGAAGGATCAACATAGGCTACACAGGGTCACCCCAGTTTTGGTGTACATGCTGCCGAAGCAAGCACGCAGATCCTTCCACCGGTACACACGTTTCTGTCAAAAGAAGTTGAGATGCTCTGGTCAGGTTGGGATCTCATCAGCAGTAGCACATAGTGCAAAGGGCACTGGGTTTATAATAGAAATACCTGAATTTTAATGTTCTGTTGACAGGAGCTTGTGCAAGCCATGCCACCAGAGCCTTGGTTTGCTTATTTGCAAAATGGAGACAACATCTTCCTCACTGAGTCTGTGTCAGGATTAGAGGAGATTCTACATAAAAGGGCCTCCTGGGATCTATCCCAGGATAACTTTCTTCTGTATAGGATTTCCTCCCTGTGGGAACAGGGACTGGAACAGGTGGGCTACTTTGCCAGAAGACCGGCTCCCCCAATGTAACTGACTCCCACAGGACCCTAAGATGTGACCCATGAGGCACGGACTATCCATCTGATAGGGGAAGAAATAAGTCATCACAACCAGTTAAATGGATTCTGTCACCTAGTTCAACATACTGTGTTGTCATTCTATTACAGAGGGTTCAAAAAAATAATTATTATCCAACGTGTTTAGAATCCATTGCTCTCCCTTTTCCCATTAATAGTGCATACTCTTACTAACAGAACCTTAGTAAGGGTAGATTCTCTGAAATGACATTCCTTCTTGTCCACTGCAAAGATGACATCCTTCTGGTTATCTGCCACCCTGCCTATCAGAAAGTCAGCCCTGTGAGGGAGACGCTTTGTCTTTCAAGATTGGTAGTGTTTTGAGTATGTGTGCTGGAAGCAGATACCAATGGAATCCGTCTATTATTCCATCTGATACAGCAGAACTAAGATTCATGGGACTAGCATTGTGACTGAGCCCAGGTACGAAGTCTGAGGCTCGTAACTCATCTTGTCAAGGACGCCACTGCACCCAGGAGCTGAGAGCAAGGTCAGAGATTAGGGACAGCAACAGAGGCAGGAAAAGGGTCACAGCTTTACTGTCCAACCTCTGATCTTCTCGCACAGAGATTAAGCTATATTGGCAGATAATACGATAGCCAGGAAAAACTAATACTCCTGGTCAAGTTTTGTCCTCAGGAAACCTTGCAAAATCCTTTTTTATCCCCACTAAATCCCTCTCACTTCACAGAGGTATCACTGTCGCCACAGGTTTAAGTTTATGCATCTGCAGCAGGCAGAAAAGAGAGCCCGTTTCCCTCTCTAGAGAGTAATAACGACACCAAAGTTAGACATTTCCAGGAATTAAGTGTAGAGAAAATGGGGAGATTCGGTACAAAGGTAAAAAAGTGGATATAGTTGCTAGAAGGGCATTTAGAGCTTAAAGATACTAATCGAGATCAATCTTCCAGAACTGCTGCCCACGCTGCAACGTCACTCTGCAAGGCATCGCAGGACAGCAGCGACAGCCAGCAGGGCTGCCGATCAAACTCCAGACGGCAGGCTGGGACTGGAGGGCAGGAGAGAGAAGGGAGGGGAGAGGAGCGCGTCCCGCAGCGGCACCCAGGCTGCACGCTCGTCCACTGCAGAGCAGCCCCAGCCAGAGTCGCACAGAGGGCCCGAGACTCCCCAAGAGCCCCCAGCAGGTCCACCGGTCAGGGTCCTCCTTGCCTCTGAGGCCAATCCAATCTTGCCTGTGGGGTCTTTGTTTCCTACCTGGGTCCAACTTCAGCCGAGACCAGATCTCCGATGGCCAAAGCTACCAGATAGGAGGGGATGGGCTGACACATCTGGAAGAAGAACTTATTTGGACCTCTCTTCTCCCAGGTGCTAGCACTCATCACAGCTGTGAAGCCATCTGGGACCTGACAACAGAGAAAGCTTAGGAGACTTGGCTTGGAGAGACTCTCCTTTCGATTAGCTCGAAGAACGGCACGACCAGCAACCTGCCTGGTGCACGATAATGACCCAGAGTCCACCGTGGAGAACATAAAGGCTTCAAGAAACTAAACCTGTGCTAAACTAACGGGATTTAGAGGAGGGCCATATAAAATTTCAGTTAGAATTTAAAAGTAAGCAATTGTTCAGAGTTACCACTGGAGGGATGTGATAATTTACCAACTGAAATGTGACCTGCTAGATCTAAAATTACGTTCTTAATCCCAAGGGCAGGTGGACCTAACCTTCGTCCCCTTACCTCAACAAGAGCTGAGTATCTGCATTTCACTGCAGGGGTGTCGAAGCAAGGGAAGAAGGCCCGGTTTAGGACAGCCTGACCCTGAGTGTAGACAAAGGGCTTCTTCTTTCCTGCCGTCTGCTCAGGAGCCAACCAGCAAACCTAAGAGAACGGAAGAACATTTCAGAACTGACATCTCCTATACGAGCTCAGTCTGGCCAGAGAAAGGAGCTAGCTGGCATGGGAAAATTTCAGGTAAGCCATAAAATCTTTCTGCCAGCCAGTTTGGCTCTGACGGGACCGTTGTCTCCTATTGTGTATTTAGTTCGCCCTGGAATCCAGGCCAAGGTATGACGTTCACTTCACGAGGCAGAGCCACCACCAAGAGCCCCTTCCTCACTGTACCCCGTGGGTCATCTCAGGAATCCCAGACCTGGCCTCTGACCCTGTCATCTGTCCCCCTCCTGTGTTCTTCTCACTGTAGAAGTTTCTCATCAAGCAGACAACTATGGAAGCAATCGTACTTGGAGAAGACACAGAAATTAGAACCTAGCTAGGAGTCACGTGATTAATATGTGTTCTTCATTTCTGAAATTTACCTTCTCAGAATAAATACATTTTATATTACAGGCATTGGTTAAATGATTCTTAATTTGTTAGCCCTTAAACCAAGGGCAGATCTGAATGATTATAACAAACTCAGTTTCTGCCTACAGCAAAAAGGAGTTCACTACAACACAGATACAACGGGGGTGGAGGACATGTCAGTAACAAGTACCCTTTAGAATTTAGAAAAGGATTAGGTTATGGCAGGAAGATTTCACAGGGGAAGCACAACTTTCTGTTTGAGCCTTCAAAGGCCAGCAGGATTTAGGTTGTTGGAAAGGCAAGGGGACATTCACACATGAGCGGCAGCACGAGCAGAGGCACAAATGGCTGCAGACTCTGGGGGTGAGTGGGAGGTTCTGGAGACAGAGAGGGGCAGGCATGCCTGGGCAGGTATAGCGAAGGGCTCTGAAGACAGAGGTATCTGACACCTATTATAAGAGGCATAACACAGCCGCATTGGGATGTTGTTGGGTTTTCCTTTGCTTGAGTTGTTTGGGTGTGAAAAATTTAGTCTCGTTCCAACAAGTACAGCACAGTATGGAAAGAGGGGAGGAAAAGAGCAACCTCACAGTGGAGAAAGCCACATCAGCCAGGGGACTGAGGTCAGCGCTGACAGTCATAAATCATGTTGGCACCATGTACCCTCAATATGAGGTGATGAAAATGGCACTTTACCTTGGTGAATTTCTGCTCAAAAACCCATAATCCCAGTCTAATCACGAGAAAAAAAATCAACGAGTTCCAATAGAGGGGCGTCCTACAATATACCTGACCAACACCCCTCAAAACTGTCAAGATCATCAAAAACAAGGAAAGTCTGAGAATTGTCACCACAGCCCCAGGAGGAACCTAAGGATACATGACAGCTAAATATAACATGGTATTCTGGATGGGATCCTGGAACAGAAAAAGAAATTTGAAAAACTTAAGACTTCAGCGAGTAATAATTTACCAGTACTGGTTCATCAATTGTAACAAATATATCACACTAATGTAAAATGATAGCAACGGGGAAACCTGTGTGGGGGGGGGAGTACTGCACTACACATGGGAAGTCTGTACTATCTGTTCAATTTTTCTGTTTTTTAAAATTAAGCCTATTAATTTAAAAAAAATGAGCTGGCAAGTGGAGCTCACTCTTATATTATAGATTACTCACTACGTACCAGGCAGCATATTAGGCACTTACGTAAAGATAATTTAACTTATTTGAAACACTTAGACCAGTTCCTGGCACATCTTAATAAATATTAGTCATCATCCCTGCCATTAAAATTCCTTATTCATCATCTTTGCTGGAGGTTTCTTTTTTTTTTTTTTTTAATGACATGAGGATAATGGAACACAGGGGCCTGGCAGTACATACTGTCTGGGTGCTACCTGCAGTGATTAGGGTGAGAACTCGCACCGGAATGGTGGGGGAGGGGTGTGGAGGGGGTGGGGGGGAATCGAGAAGAGAGAGGAAGGAAGATTGTCACAGCGCAAAGGACCGTGCTTTGTAAAGTGCAGACCTCTGCCACTCCGTGTTAAATTAAAACTATTCAGTTATAACATTTAAGTTGAGGTGCCACTTTCAGTGGACAAATACAAGGAGGGCTCAATTTTTCCAGTCACTCTATTTAATTTTTAGTTCCTGCCAAAAATCAGGAACCAAAATATAACAGCGACCAAACACATTTACAGATGTTACGTGTCCCTAGAGGGCACTGGAATTTTCCTTTGCCTTAGACGTATCATCGTGTGCTTTGGACTTTCATTTTCTAAACAAGTTCTATCACGAGGTTCACTCATCCCCCAGTAGTGAAAGGTGGAAACAGAACTCCTTGAGCCAGTCGAAGAGCAAAGGAGACGGGCTAGCCAGATAAGCAAATCTCAACTGCAGGCCAGCAGTTTACTGTGGAACTTGCAACCCACCCTGTCCTCCAAATACCTAGCAGCCACAGCCGGAGGGCTCTCCAGGAAGGATTTTCTCTTACAGATCTGGCCACATAACTTTCCACCCTCTTATTTGCAATATTCCCCCTTCCAAAAAAATTTAAGAGTCAACCAACAGTGAGAAGGCCAAGCTATTACAAAGTCCAGACCACCCTAATTCCAGCTCTCTTTTACTCAAATTCTTTTGTTAATCAAATCCGAGACTTCACAGGAGGAAACAAAATCATTATCAGGGCTTCGGAGTTGTTAAGACAAGGAACTAGAAGGGCGTACTGAACAAAGGGCCGAGTCAGCATCCGGCTAATTAGCCAACATAGTCCAGGGTCACCAAAAAGCAGAAGTAAAGTAGCTGATTATCAGGGACCTATGTCCAAAACGTTACGTTCATACGGTGCATGAATAGCTCGTTATCCAGAAGCCGCAGAGGATATCAGACGCGGTGGCGATGATGAGAGGGAGTGTGGGATAATCTAGACAAGCCACAGAGGCAGGGACGAGAGGACCCGCGTGCACGGCGCCCAGCAGAGGGGCCGCGCAGCCGGGAGGAACGCGGGGTGCGGAGCAGGAGGCCGGGAGGCGTGCGCTGGGGCGAGGCCGGGAGGCGTGCGCTGGGGCGCTGGGGACCCTCCCGGGCAGCGCGGTAAGGTCTCCCCTTTCCCTCCTCCGGGTGGGTCAGTGCCGGTCCAGAGGCCTCCCGGCGGCCGAAGGGCGGCAGGAAGCGGCCGGGTGAGGCCTGGGGCCGGGGCTGGGCTGCGGGACGTACTCACCCCGGGTCCCTCCCCGACGCGGTAGGTGAGCAGCACCTGGAAGCGCTCGGCGGCGCGGCAGGGCTGCGGGAGGGCCACGCACAGGGCCTGGCCGTAGTGCGAGAAGGGCCGCGTCTGGAAGGGCACCGGCTCCGCGGGCGGCTCCTCCGAGCAGGGCAGCCCCCGCCGCAGCGCCGCCGCCGTCACCTCGAGGCACGGGTGCGAGTCGAGCAGCAGCTCGGTGGCGCCCTCGGGCACCAGGCAGCGCAGGTCCAGGACCGCCGTGCCGCTCAGCGCCCGGCTCCCGGGGCCTGGCCCCGGCGGCCCGAACTCGGCCCGCAGGTCCAGGTGCAAGTGCAGCATCTCGAAGGCTCGGAAGTTGGAGGCCGACGCCACGTCCACGGCCTGCGCCGAGTGCAGCGGCCGCCCGGCCGCGCCGCCGCCGCCGCCCGAGGGCTCGCAGCTCGCCATGGCCCGCAGCGCCGTTGCTCTGCGCGCGGACGGGCGCCGCGCCGCCGGGGGAAGCCCCGCCCCGCCCCGGCCACGCCCCTCATCCTAGGGCCCCGCCCCTCATCCTAGGGCCCCGCCCCTCAGCCCCGGGCCGGGCCGCACCCCCTCCTCGCGCCCGTAGACCCAGTCTTCTAGCGTCACCCGGGTACCTCGGGATCTGGGGTGAAAGGGCGGTGGGGTAACTGGGCTCACACTTGCCTAAGCTTATCCTACGGTGACGTTACGGTGGTCCCGGGGGGTCACCATTCTCCGCGGCTGCTTCCTGTTTCCTCATCTTCCAGGCGGGCGGTGGGAAGGGGCGGACCCAAGACTGCGAGGGCCGGAGTTCGAGATCCCACACTCTGGACTCGGCCCGTTATTAGGACTGTGTCACCTTGGGCAAATCGCCCAAGAAAGGGGAATCTTTTCGAGCCTCTTTCTCACCTATAAAATAATAATATCTGTCGCACGAGTAATGTGTATAACGCACTTGGTAAACAGTAAAACCCTATACAACGTCATGGAATTCTACACCAGACCCAGGCTCTTCCCCTGGCGACTCCAGGCAGGCCTGGTCCCATCCTTGCGCCAAGACACCGGGAACCCGCACCGCAGTTTAGCCCTCAGATGGCCATCGCCTGTCGCTTTTATTTCCCTTACTGTAACGTCCAGCTTATTGAGCTAGCGACATCCCTACTGCATGCTCTGTTTCTCCTCTGAACCGGTGGGTTGAAGTGGCCTTTCTAGGAATAATGATGATGTTTTTACCCATCAGTTGGGAAATGAGATTTTTAAAGAGGACAAACGTAGTAAGTTTTTCATAAAAAGAAATAGTATCCTATTATGTGTTTCCTAGTTTTAAAAAGTTGAAATATATTTTATTTTGTGAAGTGATGCTTATGGCCGATAACTCTTTAGCAATTTCATGTAAGTTCAATGTCAGTTTTCTTAACTCCAAAAACCGTACGAAACTGTTATTCTACAGCATTGAACACAGTGCTTGGTACATATTAGATATTCAATACATCTACCTTGAATTTATTTAATCTCTTATGCAATAAATTTTTGTTCAGTATCTACTACACACCAGTTGTTAGGCTGGGTGTTGGGGATATAATTGGAATAAGTGTGGGACAGTCCCTGTCCTTGCAGTGCTCACAGTCTAGCTCACATTTTAGCATACACACAAGAAAACCAGTCATGACAATTCCATGTGCTGTGTGTGCTATGATGTGGGAAGAAAAGGTTGCAGTGGGAGCAGAAGGAGAAACACCGAGCCTGAGCTCTCCAGTTAGATATATTGCTGGAGGACGTTATTCTTGCCTACAGGGTAAAGGCTGTTTGGAGTTACATTTCTCCTGTTGGCCTTAACTTCTTCCGAGGGTTTCTTCAAAATAAGACTACTGGCCGGGCGTGGTGGCTCACGCCTGTAATCCTAGCACTCTGGGACGCTGAGACGGGCAGATCATTTGAGCTCAGGAGTTCGAGACCAGCCTGAGCAAGAGCAAGACCCCATCTCTACTAAAAATAGAAAAAATTAGCCAGGCATGGTGGCGCATGCCTGTAGTCCCAGCTACTTGAGAGGCTGAGGCAGTAGGATCGCTTGAGCCCAGGAGTTTGAGGTTGCTGTGACCTGACGCCACGGCACTCTAGCCCAGGCAACAGAGTGACACTCTGTCTCAAAAAAAAAGACTACTCTTTTTCAAAAGTATCAAAGTCACAAAAGATAAGCAAAGACAGAAATAGTCACAGATTAGAGAAGACTAGGGAGATAAGACAACTTACAGAATTCGGGATCCTGTATTAGTCCTGAAACAGAAAAAGGACATTACAGGAAAAATTGGAGAGATCCAAATAAAATCTGGAGTTTAGTTAATGTAACTAATGCCTTAGTTTTGATACTTGTTTTTATAGTTATATAAGATGTTAACATAACAGGAAGCTGAGTGAAATGTGTACCGGAACTATGTTTGCAATTTTTCTGTAACTCTAAGGTTATCTCAAAACTAAACAATTAATATAAAAAATACAAAGAAATACATGGGAATGATAAACACTAAATTTAGGATAACAGGTAACTCTTGTGGGATGTAGGTGAATGAAATCAGGCATAAGGAATAAGGAATAAAGAATTTCAACCGTGTGAAGAATGTTTATTTCTTATGCTATGGGGAGGGTACATGGATATTTAATATATTTTTTATCACATTTACATGCCCAAAATATCTCATAATACATCTCTTTAAAAAGCTTCAGACTTTTCAACTAGGTAAAGTCACATCTGCCTATAATTTATTCATCCACTCAGTATTTATCAAGTACCTGTTATAAAATGTGGTTCCTGTACTCAAGAAATTCAGTTTCATCATCTATTGAGATTCAATCCTGCTTCTCCTGTGTTGGTTGTGGGCACAGAGTCTCTGCCACAATGACTCAACTCTGCCATTATAGCAAGAAAGCCACAGACAATACCATGTATGAACACATGGCTGTGTTCCATAAGTTATTTACAAAAATAGCTTGGGTGTCGTGTGCTGAGCCATGATGTAACAGATTGAACAGAATTTAGACAACGAATGAGTTTTAACTAAAACTAACATACCACAGGGTGGAGCTATGATCATGCTGTCATGATTCGCAGACATTGCATATGTGGAAACAGAAGCACTTTCAACAGCAGGTGCAGCTGTACCCACGTCTTCCAAACCCTGATCAGAAATTCACTATTGCATGCCAATTTCACACAAAGTGTCAGTTCTAGGAAAAACAGATGGGATCTCTCTGATGGGCATTTCAACATTGAAATTGAGAAACTAACTCCATTACTCCAGGAAAGACCTAGGGAAAAGCTCCTTCCTGTCTGCTTGTTGCTCCAATTACTTATTTTGGAATTAAAACAATTTGGGTGTTTTACCTTTTATCCTAGGCTCTACTCTGTATACCAAATTTAGTTTTAGAATATTTCATATCAGTATTTAAAAAATATTTATT